CTATACCAAGACCTACTTTGCCACTAATTTTCTAGCCGTACGGAATAGTGTCTCGCATCAAGTCAACAATCTCTTTCTGTTTTCATTTTTACACTTTGTTTCAATTTCTGTTTCAGTTTATTTTTCTCTTTTTAATGTAGATATAAGTTAATTGTTTAGTTGAATAATAAATTTAACATTCAAAATAAACAAAAATATAACATTCAAGATTGTTTGGAGTTAGTCTCGATGATACAGTCACCTGAAGAATGACCTGCTTTCTCCAATCTACTAGAGGAGTTTGGTTTACTTCGTGTCTATTTTTCCTTCTTCTCGCTTTCTCTCATTTCTCGTTTTTGTAATGTTAAAGCGGATTGCTTAGCCCGTTCTTCTACACTTTTATTTTCTGAAGTTACTTTTGTAGACTCTTCTTCTCCTAATTGGACAACCAAAAAGTTATTTATTAATTAATGTGTGATAACAAAAAAAATAAAAAATAAACAAAGATATTGTAGAGAAAAATAGGTTCACTATAAAATATTCAAATTTTCTCAACCTATCTTTTTCCTTTTTTTGAGCTCTGGCAGACAACCAAACTTCCACAAAGAACTGACACGATTCGTTAATTGCACTTCATAGCTATATTAATAAATCAGTGCCCACAATTTTAGTCGTCTAAATTTACAAGTGGTCTACATATAGATTTAGCAATTCAATTCCGTACAATATTTATTAATATAATATATTAAGGGATATCAGATAATAATATAGATATATGGGCACTAATTCTACGAGGTCAAGAAAAAAAAAATACATTTAAAATATAGATATATGTCATAATAATATCAGATAATGTCAACGACCGGCCGGTAGCTATTAACGAGCTTTTTATCCCGTCTACATGTATTTTTACCTCTTTATTTACACAATAATTAGTCTATTCATTAAAATATTTGAGGAAAAATATGATATATATGCGGAATGCTTTTAATAATAACAAAACACATATTCTTTCCATTTCAAAAGATAAGATGTTTTAGACTTTTAGTTAATAGTACATAGTTTAAAAAATTAATTTTTTAAAAAATATCATTTAATATTTAATATTTTTTTAAAAATCAATCAATTACAAAAGATACTTCAGAATATAACAAAACATTAAATACATTTAAAATTTGCACTGAAACTTGTAAAACATCTTCTATGATAAAAATATAAAACAAAATAAAAACTCTAAAACATCGATGGAGATTTATTTTAATCATTTCATATATATGTCGTATTTATCCTATATGGCTATATATATATGTTTAAATTTGAAATCATAATATCTATATATCATTGGTCACACAAAGGTCTTTAATATCCAAACGTAGAATTAGTACTTGAATTCTAAAAAATTAAAATTAAGATAAGGCTAAAAACTTTCATTTAAAGTTCGTAATGTGGACTTCAAGATTATAAAGTAGTGTGGCAGTTAAATAAGTCGAAAAACAAACAATTAATAATAACAAACTCTAGATAAACTCAACGTTATAATGACATAATCATATACTGATTTTAGTTCCACCAATCCCAAATATACGAGCCAGTGATCAACTCAATGTGACCTTGTGTCTTTTCAAGTTCATGGAACCATGTAATAAAATATTTGCAAATAAAAAGTGTAGATATATATGCCGCCCAATCTTAATGTGAAGGCTAAGAGAAAGTGTAATGAATTGAAAATTGAAAAGATGGAAAGTTTAAAGATCAATTGGCTAATGGTTATTTACTGATTTGTTTTCAACCTTCTATATAAATACTTTTTTTTCGTTTTATAAATTATCGTTTTAATATTTTTTTAAAGAGTATTGTTTTATATTTTCTATGCCGATTTATTTCAGTTATATTCATATTATTTGAGCTTATTAATTAGGAAGAGAATATTACTTAGTTTACAAATAAGGAGTAATAGAAATTTGTATATTTTTCTTAATTTGTATAAAAATTGTTAGAATAACACTTTTTGGATATTTATGGATCCCAGAAAAATCTCCAAAAACTGACTCACAAATCCATTATTACATATCTTCTTGTAAGCATGAAAATTTTGGATTAAAATTCAGAAAAGCCGCCAAGAAAAAAAAGTTTTTTTTTTTGTTGTGTTCAAGAAATAGAAAATGTGAAAGTGTCTTTGACAAAAGATATTGGTTTGATTCATATAACCACAGAAAAATGCACGTAGGTAAACGGCTTTTAGGAAAGAGGAGTTTTATAGTCTAATGTTTTTATATTAGTTTTATGTTACTAATAAATTGAAACATGGTAAAAAAGCTGTGTAGGCTAACATTGATGTAGCTAAACCACGTAGGTTCAGTTTGTAATGAGGTACTACTAATTAATGTGTTCATATCATAATCATATGTCGTTTAAAATACACAAATATCTATTAGCGTGCATTAATAAAAACACTATAACTATAACTAAAATTTTACGATAAAGTATAGATGTAATGTAATCTAACATATATGAAAAATATAAACTACTTTGGATACCATACATTTTAGAAAAAATATATACATAAATATATATCCAAACACATTTAGTTGTGGCAGATTTAGAAATATAGGCTACAATTGAACAAACATGTCCTAGAATAAGGAGTTAATTAATATGATGAGCTCTGCGTTGATATAATGGTTATTATCTCGGTTTTCCATATTTGGATGAACAATATATGACGATGAGAACAATGATCATGAACACCATTCTGGTTGAAATTTAGGTGGTGGCGATAAATAATCATGATTATGATCCCATCAACAACATTTCATGACTTTTTACATATAATAGAAACGAAAAGAAAACATCAATTGGCCTGTGAATGTTCTAAGTCATATATTTTGGCCAATGCAATTATAGGGGAGAAAAAAATTGAAAAGTAACATCAACGAAGATTATTGGTTACACCTTTATTTCATCTAGTGATCATGAAAATGCTTTATCAATTATATAGTGGTGATAATTTGGTGAGTGTATCTGACTGTAGTGGACCGTTCTTTTGTGATGGGCCTTAATTCGTATCTTCTTCATATAATTAACTTCTTATAAACTAACTCCTCGCGACCTCACTTGACCATATGTAATATGTTCAATGTTTTTGGAAACAATCATTTCGTTTTCCTCTCTTCCTGCGCGATCTCGTGGCTCTACTTTATTCATCCTAACAATTTTATATTTCCTCTATGTTTTTGTAATGTATTCCCACTACCAATATCATCATACATGCATAACTTGATCAAATGCAATGTGTTAATGCTACATAAACTTCTCTTACGAAATCATTTCACATATATATGTACTTTTACTTAAGGTCGTCTCAAATCCGTCAAATATGGTAACCGAGATCAATTTTGATGGCAAGGAGAGATATAGAATCCCTATTATATATGCATTTTATTTAATTCAAAAGAGATATTTAAAAAGAAAAGTAAAAGAAGGTCTTTTTTAATCTTTGCTTATAAAATTTTATGCCTTTTATTTTCCCTTTTGATCTTCGCTTATTAAAAATTTAATTTCAATGTCCCCCACTTAGTTTTTAGAGGTCGCTATTACCTTCTTCCCACCGCATTTGCATTGGTTCATATATATTGTTTTTAATATATTGAATACACTTGTTTTATTTCGGTGCTAATTGCAAGAAAATTTGTTTGTCTTCACTTTGCATCATACAAATAAATCAGTTCCAATTGTTTGATTAAAAAATGCAAACATATCCACTACGTTTGGCCTTACAAAAAAAACATTGTTACTTAGATAGACTTTGAAAAATATCTTTATATATACTTTAAAAATGTTGTTTAATTCACACCTTTTTTCGTCAAATAGCAGGTATTTTCAAGGAGTAAGTTATATTCTATTAGGAATGTGGCCTAACTTAACCCAAAAGCTAGCTCAAGAGTTAAGGGTTGCCACATCCTATATATATTGCCCAAAGATCTTAATCCCAAGCAATGTGGGACATTCTAATAGGCCTCCTCGAGATGTGGGTGGGAAACGGTCCAACGGGAAACAGCCCAAGCCCAACATCTCGGAAATACAACAAGACATGCCACTTATATGGGCCACATAGGTGGGAAACCATTTTTGTGGGAATTTGCTTGTTGGGCCAACTTTGGGCTCTGATACCATATTAGGAATGTGGCATAACTTAACCCAAAAACTAGCTCAAGAGTTAAGGGTTGCCACATCCTATATATATTGCCCAAAGATCTTAGTCCCAAGCAATAGCAATGTGGGACATTCTAATATATTCTCTCTCTACTTGGAACAATATTCTTTTCATGCCCTAGTAATAAACTTCTAGTTTAAGAATTATGATACAAAAACAAAATATGATACAATCACGACCAGATTTTTCTTTAATTTGACATATATGCTAGATTGTGAAACTTGCAAGTTGCAACGGTCAACAAGACTCTAATATTAAGGTCTAGAACTTGGAAATTTGATAGAAATCAAGAAATGATTTGTGTAAGACATTCTCTAATAGGTACAAAATACAAAAAAAAAAAAAAAAAAAAAGAGGTCATGCATTTAGAACATATCTATTAGTTTTGGTTACTTTTAGTTTCATTTGCATTTTATTTTGAATGTTCTTGGCTGTCTGATTATGAAAATTCAGCATTGGTTTTTGAATGAATCAATTTTACCTTTTAATAATCTTATGTACTGTTTTTTTTTTGTAAAATATATAGAATGTAATGTTTTGTACAAATATTTATATTTATTATCAGTGTATGTACTACAAGTTCGTCCACATTAGATTCTTCATTTGCTTACCACACACCGTGCAACGAACACACATTTATTTTCACTACACTTATTTTGCAAATCAAATGATGACCTATATATTTATGTAGCCACAACTTTCATCAAAGTAAATGCTCGGGATCCAAATTAATCATAGGGCATGTAAAAATGTACGTTAATGATATCTCAAAAAACTATTACTAGCTGATATATCACGATAAACATAACAAGTCTACAATTATTTATCGAATCTTTTTGTGTGACACACAAACAAGACTATCATCATTAAGAAAAAACTAAAATGCCAAAATTAAAATGAAAGCTTGTTAATGGCAATGATGATAATGATGATGATGATGATACCATTGTAGTTCACATCTGGATCCATTTAGCAAGCTGGGTCGGGTTAACCACACCAGGGACATGGTTTCCATTTGTTTTGAACACACTCGCCACTTCAGAGTAACTCTGGCGAGCCTTTTTCGCTTCTCTGTGGTGTGGTGGTGGACCTGGTGGCGGCGAGACTAGCGGCCCAACTTCGGCCCATCCAGGATACAGCTTCCGGCCCAACATAGTACCGCACGTGAGGTACTCGTGTGCCATGTAGCCAGCCAGTAGCCAGTTCGGTGTGGTGGCCGTGGCTCTTGGATCACTCTCCGTCTCCTTACGTTTCCTCGACGCGCCTTGCGTCGGTACTTCACGCGCGTGGTGGTTTTGATTCATTTCTTTGGCTTCTTTATCTTATGCCCACGTGGATGACAGGTTGTATAGATGATCAGGGTTGTAATGGTCAATGTCAAACGTAAGGGCTAAAAACGTCAATTCATGTTTAATTTGAGGCGAAAACCGTCAAACGCATGAGTGTCGAGAAAAATTAGCGGATACGACAAAAAAATAAAATAAAATGTTTTAAAATTCAGATTTTTAAAATTAAAAAAACAAATCAAAGGGAATTAAAAAAAAAAAAAAGCGATCGGAGGCAGATTAAAGACGTCGCCGGATAAATCTGAGCGTAACGGCGACGGGAAAGCGCCACCAAAGAGATAGATCGGCGAGTATATTTGCAGGATGAGATCGGAGAGAAGATTACGTCGCCGGAGATCGGCGGAGGAGTCAAAAGCGGATAAAATAAAGAGATAGAGAGAGAGAGAGATATGAAGGGGAAAAGTTGGATGCGTAACTTCTTAAAAATTTGGTTAGATTAAAATTTGATTATTCGGATTCTTTCGAAAAAACCATATCAAAACGTTATAAGGGCCTTAATGGGCCTTAAATTAAATTTACTGGGCTTTAGAAATCGGTTGGTTTGTTGGAGAAGGTAGAAAACTCTTCGTGTTTAAGGTTGCAGTTCACAATCTAAACGGTTGTGTTGTCAAGATTGCAACATATATTGGGTTTCTTTCAAGATCGCAACTGTTTTCATAACTCTTATCAAAAGAAATATATAAAATAAATAAAAAATTAGTTAAATTTTAGGGCTCTAGATCACATATTTTACTACTATGAAAATTTTGTACAACCCTAAACAATTTTAGGGCTCTAGAGAACACATACAAAAGTTATAGATGAAAGAAAAGCCCTCTAGATTTGTTTCTTTTGTAATCACATCATTTTCTTAAATAGAAGAAACTAAACTATTATTATAAATTTTAAAATAATATACACGAAAAGCAACATTCAAAAAACCTAGAGTAGCGACATTATTCATAGAGTTTTGATCCACATTAATTACATATACTATAGTATGTTTTGTTCTTTGTGTGTTTTTTCTTTTTCATTCTTTTTTGGTTATTTTTTTTTCCTTTTTTAAAACCCTAATTCTTTCACGTCGCGTCGATCGAGTGTGAACGAGCAAATCGGGATGTGGATTTATTTTAAGTAGACACCAATCTCTTTCAATTATTTATTCATTACTCCAACCTCCTATTAATTACTCCAAAGTCCAAGCGCTTACTTTGATTTTTGTTTTAGCACCGTCATTTAATTCAATTTGGTCGACCCTACTAAAATATGCAGGTTTAGAGTTTTGAACCTAACCAATCTAATTTGTTAAACATAACAATGCTTAAAGTAATTTAATATTTTCAAGAACTTAATATGGCTGGTTATATTGAAGGGTCCAACAGGACCGCACTAGGCTTTAAGCACAAGAAACATTAGGGTTGGATCGTATTCGTATTAACCCGATCGAGTAAATGTCTACTTATGTTGGTGTAACTATTGAATGTTATATTTTTATTAGACATGATTTACACATATTGCATGTAGCAATCTCTTATTGGAGGATAAGTACGTACAAGTGATCTGTATTTATTCAATATTATTGCATTTAGGACATAATAGGTTGGATAATGAATGACGGCTTTTTTGTTCAAACTGCAATAAATTCTTCATCTAACTCGCACATGGTTTGGTATGGAAGCTCCAATGGTTATTTGTTTTAAAAATAGTAAATTAGATTTATATGAAGAAAAACATATATTAGCGCTAAAACTAAAGACTACCAACGACGACATTAAAAAAATAAAAAATTACCACTAACATTTTAATCACAGAACTTAGTAAAAGAGATTGGTTTTATTGTTTAGTCGTTCATACGATTCAGTATAGAGTTAAATTTAAGATTATGACATGACATTTTCTAAAAAACTATTATAAAAAAACATTTATAAAATTAAAGGGAAAAGTAAGATATTCCTGCAGTGCCAATAGGTTTAATTTTATTACCAACATGAAATTCACATAGCATATGTTGCTACAATTACAAGTTAATGAATAGTGCTTATATCGACGTAGATACACTTAGTAGTGAATGCTTACTAGTAAAGTACCCTATCCTTGGCAACAAGAAAGACTAATAATTTTTTTTTTTTGCATTTTTGATAAAAAAAAGTTCGGTTTTATGAAAAAATATGATTTTTAGTTATATAACACTTGGCTAACTAAGAAGTAAGAACTATAGAGATCTTAACTTTTGAAACCATTATGTTATATATATATATATATATATAGTTTTATACGTTAATTACAATATTTTTCAAACATCACCATAGTGCAATCCGAAAACTTCTTCTTAGTATTAGTAATCGTCGGATGCGCATTCTGAATATGATAATGTCCTCAAGACATTTTATTTATTTATCAGCTATACGAATTAAATAATAGTGCAAAGTTATTTATGTTAAACAAAAACTAACTAATGAGTTGTTTTGTTTTCCTTGAACTAACTTATAAGTTGTTTATTTGCCCTAGTTATAAAGAAGGGTAGAATTAATTAATACTTACCAGATCGACAAACGGTTAATGTGTCAGATAGTGTAAGGTAATTTGGGTAAAACGGTTAAAAGCCTACTTGGTAGATATGAGTAAAATACTCCACTAAACTGAGTTTCTTATTTCTATGTAATAATTTTATTATTAGTGAGATATGTTACTAGAAAACATGTGGAGACGATATCGCAAAAGGATTTGGGAATTGAATGCAGTGTGTGGTAGAGTAGGAGTTAGTGGTTGAAGTAAGTTAATGCAAAAGATTAAAGTAGATAATTAAGTGTTGCTATATAATCGACCGTAATGTTGGTTAGGTTTGATCATCGGGCAGTGCACTCTGCAAATAAACAAACATACTTCAAAAAATATGGGGCGTCTCGTTAGTGGAGCTACTCTTTTGGCTTTGTTATGTTTCCATGTTTTTGTGGTCAATGTTGCAGCGAGAGATGTGATCTCGGGAAGAGATGAGGATGAGAAGACTTTAGTTGGAGGGGGCAAGGGTGGTGGCTTTGGCGGGGGATTTGGAGGAGGAGCCGGTGGTGGGTTTGGAGGAGGAGCTGGTGGTGGATTTGGAGGAGGAGCTGGCGGTGGTGGTGGAGGAGGTGGAGGTGGAGGAGGTGGTTTTGGTGGTGGAGGAGGTTTTGGTGGTGGACATGGTGGAGGTGTCGGTGTCGGTGGTGGAGTTGGCGGTGGTATTGGAGGTGGGGGTGGACACGGTGGAGGAGCTGGTGGTGGGTTTGGAAAAGGTGGAGGGATCGGTGGAGGAATCGGAAAGGGTGGAGGAGTTGGCGGTGGCATCGGTAAAGGAGGCGGCATTGGTGGTGGAATAGGCAAAGGTGGAGGAATTGGCGGGGGTATCGGCAAAGGTGGAGGTATTGGTGGCGGGATCGGCAAAGGTGGGGGTATTGGTGGTGGGATTGGCAAAGGTGGAGGAGTTGGCGGTGGTTTTGGTAAAGGCGGTGGTGTTGGCGGTGGAATTGGCAAAGGAGGCGGAGTTGGTGGTGGTTTCGGCAAAGGCGGAGGAGTTGGTGGAGGAATTGGCAAAGGTGGAGGAATTGGCAAAGGCGGAGGCATTGGTGGTGGAATAGGCAAAGGCGGTGGAATTGGTGGCGGCATTGGCAAAGGCGGAGGCATTGGTGGCGGAATTGGCAAAGGCGGTGGAATTGGTGGCGGCATTGGCAAAGGCGGAGGCATTGGTGGCGGAATTGGCAAAGGCGGAGGCATTGGTGGCGGAATAGGCAAAGGCGGTGGAATTGGTGGCGGAATTGGCAAAGGCGGTGGAATTGGTGGCGGCATTGGCAAAGGCGGAGGCATTGGTGGCGGAATTGGCAAAGGCGGAGGCATTGGTGGCGGAATTGGCAAAGGCGGAGGCATTGGTGGTGGAGGTGGATTTGGTAAGGGTGGAGGTATTGGCGGAGGTATTGGCAAAGGCGGAGGCATTGGAGGCGGTATTGGCAAAGGTGGAGGTATTGGCGGAGGAGGTGGATTTGGTAAGGGTGGAGGCATTGGAGGCGGTATTGGCAAAGGCGGAGGCATTGGAGGCGGTATCGGCAAAGGCGGAGGCATTGGTGGCGGTGGTGGAATTGGTGGCGGCATCGGAGGTGGAGGAGGCTTTGGTGGAGGAGGTGGATTTGGAAAAGGTGGTGGAATCGGTGGTGGAATAGGCAAAGGAGGAGGTTTCGGCGGAGGAGGTGGATTTGGGAAAGGTGGAGGTATTGGTGGAGGAGGTGGATTTGGAGAGGGAGTAGGATTTGGCGGTGGAGGTTTTGGAGGTGGAGGAGGAGGTGGAGGCGGAGGAGGAGGCGGAATCGGACACCATTAAACAAAAACACATGAAGAAGTTGCATTGAGTGCATGTCTCACGTCACGTACAACATGGTTTACAAGTTTGAGAGTGTTATTGTTACCAAATATAGTACTAGTTTTATCTTTTATGTACTTTGTCTCTATTTGAATTACGAGCTATGAGTTTTGTTAGACGCACTCTAATAATTTTCATTTTATCATGTAAAACTCTAGGACTGTGTATTTGGTTGGAAGTCATTTTCTTAAAAAAAATCAATGAAGCAAAATTACAAATATATAGCAACATGAAATGCAAAACTTGTTAAGAAATAGAAATAATTGTAACATGAACCATAAGTATTACAATGTATCAACTTACAATACTTATGGATCAATGCATGGTTTGGTTGATCCATATGTGTTAGGTGCATGCCTAATCTAACTTTCTTTGTCCATGATTACCTAACCTTCACTTAATGGATCATACAACTACACCTAAGCTACATTTCATTGTCTCTCTCTAATGCATGAAATTACTCTGCTCTCTCATAAGTTTGGAGTTACATTTTACACATCAATGATCATAAAAGACAACTCTCACACTACTACACTCTTTCTATATATACTACTTTAATTTCCTTCCTCTACAATTCTGTTATATTATCTCTTCTTTTAACAGTTTCAGAGACTCTTGTATCACTCTCTCGCTCGCTCTGCCTCTCTCTGGTTCATCATCTGGCTGGAGACTTCACTTATTCTGTAGCTTCGCCTTGTTGATCTTGGTCGAGATCTTGTAACTTGACAAGTGTCTTGATTTAGACTGGTATGGTGGCTGCACATGGTCTGCTAGAAAAACAATATGGTGACTCCTCTGAGCTGTTATAATGGTTAGATACTGAATTATAATTGTTTTGTTGGTTGCTAATTTCCGGACAAATCAGCCCAAATTGTTTTTTTTCTGCATGTAGCCACCGACATGCCCCGGCTATGTCTTCTCTTATTCTTTCTTCATATCTTCTTTAACAGTTTCAGAGACTCTTGCCACGTCAGCTTGCATTGTATCACTCTCTCTGGTCACCTTGGTCAAGACTTCTTCACCTATCCCATAGCTTCTCCTTGTAATTATTGATCTAGGCTGGTATGATGGCTCCACAAGGTCCGTTAGGGAAGGATATGGTGACTTCTGTGAGCAACCAAAAACATATGGTCCTGTCTCTAATAGAAAAAGCGGCTCGGTTTTTCTTTACTAGATTCTTGACACATTTCATATCAACCGGTTGTGTAACGTGAGTCCCCCTCCTCCTCTGTTCTATTTTTGTCATTAGTTGCTTTGAAATGTTACGTTTACTTATTAGTTAGATCCTAATAGAATAACTGAAGAAGGAGGAACAATGTTCACTTTCGAAGGAAAGGATTCGAGATGTCACTTGAAATCTAAACTAGAGATTCACAGTCCTCAGTTTTACTGGAAGGTTAGCGTAGAAAACCGATGTTAGAACTTAGAAGTGCTCTTTGAATCAGTGGAAACTGTTTTCTTCTAAAGCTCAAGATCTGGATTCTTGGTTTTTTATCCCACAGGTTATGACACAGGCAGATTTAGGACTTGCTGATGCTTATATCAATGGAGATTTTTCGTTTGTCGATAAGGAAACAGGACTTTTGAATCTGATCATGGTATAATAAATTATTGAAGCATTGAGATGATGTTTAAAATTTATTTTGATCAACAACTATCTGCTTGTTCATGCAGATTCTCATTGCTAGCAAAGAATTGAACTCAAATCTTGCTAAGAAAAGGTAAAGTTTCAAACTTGCAGCTAAGTTACTTCACTTGTCCCATTGCACTTGTTTTTATTTATTTTGCAGGGGCCGGTGGACACCGATGTTTTTGACTACTGGTTTAGCATCTGCAAAGCATTTCCTAAAGCATTTCTATAGGCAGAACAATTTAACTCAAGCTCGAAGGAGCATTTCGCGACACTATGACCTTGTAAGTTGTGTTATGCCCCCATCTTTTAGTCTCAAGATGAACATTTTTTTGCTGTTTTGAGTGTAATGATGAGTAAATTGCAGAGTAATGAGCTTTTTGCTATATTCTTGGATGATACCATGTCTTATTCCTCTGCGGTATTCAAGGTATCAATGGAAACCTCCTCACTCTTTTTTTTTTTTTTTGGCGTTCTGTTTCTCCGAATTTAATCTTTCGCCATTTAACACGTTTATAGTCGGTTGATGAAGATTTAAAGGCTGCACAAATGAGAAAAATATATCTTCTCATTGATAAGGTAACATCTATACAAGGAAGTTTTCTTGATTTAGAACAAGAACCTGGCATTTGCTCTGTTCTTTAATAATCAAAAAGTAGGAAATTTCAGGCGAGGATAGAGAAGAACCATGAGGTTTTAGATATTGGATGCGGATGGGGAACTTTGGCCATAGAAGCTGTGAGAAGAACTGGATGCAAATATACCGGTATTACGCTATCAATTGAACAACTTAAATATGCAGAAGAAAAAGTGAAACAAGCTGGACTTCAGGTTTGCATAATCCATTTCTGTTTCTGATCTCCAAGGCTATGATTAACATTTTAACTTCTTAATGATAGGACCGGATTACGCTTAAGCTCTGCGATTATCGCCAATTATCCGATGCTCGAAAATATGACAGAATTATATCTTGGTAATATCTCTCTTGTATATAATATATGTCTTATGTCTTATGAGTCTATGACATAACATTTTGGATGTTTCAGCGAGATGCTAGAACATGTTGGCCACAAATTCATAGAGACATTTTTCAGTCACTGTGAAGCTGCGCTTGCAGAAGACGGCATTTTTGTCCTGCAGGTAACATTTGTATGTATCCCCAATCTCATGTTTGCACAACTGTTGATCGTTGTTAATGTTTACCAATAATAACAGTTTATATCGATACCCGAAGAGCGTTACAATGAGTACAGACTAAGTTCAGATTTCATAAAAGAATACATATTCCCTGGTGGATGCCTTCCTTCTTTAGCCAGAGTTACTTCAGCCATGGCCTCTTCCTCTAGGCTATGGTAAAGTCTTCTCTTTATCAAAGTTTAGCTTCAAATGCAATTCCTCTGCTTTCTCTTCCTCAGAACTATCTAACACCGGTGTAACCGGAAAAAACACAGCATTGAAAACGTTGAGAACATTGGGATTCATTACTACCAAACGTTGAGATTGTGGAGGAAGAACTTCTTGGATAGACAAAAGTAAGATAAAAATTATTAAAAACCATTCCTCTGTTTTCTGTTTGGACTTTGTATGTATGTTTGTGCTCATGTCCCAAAAAAACCATTACTTGTGCAGACAAATTATGGATCTTGGATTCGACGATAGATTCATAAGGACATGGGAATATTATTTCGACTATTGTGCAGCTGGTTTTAAGACTCGTACCCTTGGAGACTACCAGGTGACACACACACACACATACTCGAGCATTAACAGTTTAACACATGCCTCGTGATTTGAATAACCATATGCATTATTTATGCAACATTGCAGATAGTTTTCTCACGTCCAGGGAACGTAGTTGCATTCGGTGATGATCCATTCTACAGCTCTCCTTTAACTCAAAAAAACAACTTTAAATGAATCATTTCCAATCTCAACTAGTACTCCCATTTCTTGTGTTTACCCGTAATGTTTGTCGATACTTGAAAAAGTTGTCTTATGCGAACATTAATTTATGTCTCCAAGGAACATTTCTTCTCTCTCTTTTGAGTTTGTGATTTGTTACAACCAATGAGCTTTTTCTGCATGATCCTTGCATGTGCTCATCATCAGCCCATGAAGCATCCGAGAACTTTAGTAATTTTATTTCTTGGAATGTGTGAAAATTAGATATTTCATGTAATCAAATTAAAGTAGAATATGTAACAACTAGAGAAAAGCAGACACCAACCCAAACATTGGTTTTCACGTATGGATTGCCATATAATAAGTACAGAACACAATGTGGCTTGTTTATACAATACTCGCTTACTCTTCAATACCTCTCCAGTTGTTTCTTCGTAGTTCCTTCTTTTTAATTCAAAATAAATAAAGAGAAACCTATTTTTGGTAAACTCAGTCCAGGGAACTGTCATTTTCAGATCCAAGATCCATTGTGTCCCAAGTAAAAGAGGTAATATTGCTGACTACATTTTTCTTCTTTTTTCTTTCTTCAATATTGTATTCTTTGGTGTCTTTGGACTCTCTCCATAACTCCATTCTCCTATCACACTCCCTCTTCTCGTTAACGTATGTTAATACAGTGAAAGGAACCATATCCATAAATTCATTATCGGATCCGGATCCGGCCGCCCCAGATATTCTGGTGTCCGCATCAGATCGGATCCAGGATAATAGTCTCAGGCCCCAGTAGCTCAATGTTTTCTAGATACATCAAATCTAAAGCAATTAGTTATCTTTACATGGTTTTTTCTTGTCTGATCCTTAGCTAAATTTCCATGAAGATAGACTAAAGGCAGTGATCAATTCTATAATTATAAAAGCACCTTCTCTTCATTCCACATTTACTTTTGTACATATCTTCATTCCACAATGAATATGTAAATAACTCACGGTTTTGTTATCTTTAGGCCAGGATGGTAGTTGCACGAGGTTTGCTATCGAAAGAAACCACTCTTCTGAAAAATATACAACATATGGTCATTTCCCTAACCGAATCAGGGGGCCGGCTTTTCGTTACTAGATTCTTGGAACAATTCATATCCATCGGTTGTGTAACGTGAGGTTCACTTTATCTCCTCGATTCAGATAAATGTAATGTTATTAGCAAAATTGGGTGTATCCGGATCCGCCCGGATCCATAAAATTATTATCCGGATCCGGATCCGGCTACCCCGGATATCCTATTTTTCGGAGCGGATCCCGGATCGGATCTCGGATCCCGGATAATAGGTCTCAGGGCTAAATGTTATACCATTGTTACATTGATACTTAATTACCGCTATAAACTAAACAGGATACTAGAAGAAGGAGAAACGATGTTCATATTCGGGGAAAAAGATTCTACCTGCCCTTTGAAATCTATCCTCAAGATTCACAGTCCTCAGTTTTACTGGAAGGTAATTTTATACATAAGACAAAAAGAAAAATTTAGAAAAGCCTTTCTATAGCTCAAGAACCGGATTCTTGATTCTTGATTCTTGATTCTTAGGTTATGACACAAGCGGACTTAGGACTCGCAGATGCTTATATCAATGGAGATTTTTCTTTTGTCGATAAAGACTCAGGACTTCTGAATCTGATTATGGTACATAATATCCTTGTAGAAGCATAGATACTTACTTCTTCGATTGTTCGAGTTATTTCTAATGTTTATCTACAGATTCTCATTGCTAACAGAGACCAGAGCTCACCAAAATCAAACCTTGCCAAGAAAAGGTAGACCCTTACAACTTTCTCCATAAAGAGTTTAGGCTTGGGATGCAAACTTTATCGCCTATGCTTTCACCTGTGTTTTTAACCTTACAGGGGATGGTGGACACCGATGTTTCTAACTGCCGGTTTAGCATCTGCAACGTATTATCTAAAGCATGTCTGTAGAAAGAACACTCTAACTCAAGCTCGAAGGAACATTTCTCGTCACTATGACCTTGTAGGTGGCTTCAAAATCCACCTCTCTTTAAATCTCGGTGAACATTTCCTCGGTCACAGAGCAACGAGTTTTTCGGTCTCTTCATGGATGATACCATGATGTACTCCGCTGCAATATTCAAGGTGGCTGTTAAAAAAACTTCCAAGGGATTTTTCTCTTACTTTACTATGATTCTGACATCAACCTTTTGCCATTTGTCATGTTTATAGTCAGAGAATGAGGATCCTAGAACTGCACAGATGAGAAAAATATCTCTTTTAATTGAAAAGGTAAGATCCATAGGAGAGCATTTTCTTGATTTATAACAAGAACCAGTATTTTTTTCTTTGTTCTTTAGTGATCAACAAGTGGGAAATTTCAGGCGAGGATAGAGAAGAACCATGAGGTATTAGAGATGGGATGCGGATGGGGAACTTTGGCATTACTCTATCTATTGAACAGCTTAAATATGCAGAAGCAAAAGTTAAAGAAGCTGGACTTCAGGTTTTTTCTAATCCATCTTCAGGTTTTCTAAAACCAGGAACAATGTGTGCCTTATGATTAACAATATTACTTCTGAATCACCAGGATCGGATAACGTTTATGCTCTGCGATTATCGCCAACTATCTGATGCTCGCAAATATGACAGAATTATATCTTGGTAAAACTCTTTTTTTTGTCCCTTGTTGTTAAACAAACTTTTGTAATCTGTCTTCTAACATAACATCTCGGGATGTTTCAGTGAGATGATAGAAGCGGTTGGCCACGAGTTTATGGATAAGTTTTTCAGTTGTTGTGAAGCTGCACTTGCAGAAAACGGTATTTTTGTCCTACAGGTAACACTTGCTTCTTCCCCACGGTTCCCTCATCGTTGCAAAACCATTGATTGTTTTAATGTGTAAACTATATAACAGTTCACAGCGATACCCGAGGAGCTCTACGACGAGTGCAGACTAACTTCAGGTTTCATAACGGAATACATATTCCCTGGTGGATGCCTTCCTTCTTTAGCCAGAGTTACTTCGGCCATGGCTACTTCTTCTAGGCTATGGTAAAAGTCTTTTCTTTATCAGCGTTTAGCTTCAATTACAATTTCTCTGCTTTCTCCTTCTCCGACAACCTATTTAGTATCTAACACCGGAAAAAAAAAACACAGCATTGAAAACGTTGAGAACATTGGGATTCATTCCTACCACACGTTGAGATGCTGGAGGAAGAACTTCTTGGAGAGACAAAAGTAAGATCAATATTAACAACCTTTCCTCTGTTTTGCTTTTCATAAATCAGTATGTTTGTTCATATGTCCAACAAAACTAACTATATTATTTGCGGCTCTGCGCAGACAAATCATCGATCTTGGATTCGACGATAAATTCATTAGGACATGGGAATATTATTTCGACTATTGTGCAGCTGGTTTCAAGACTCTTACCCTTAGAAGCTACCAGGTAACACACACACTCGAGCACATTAACCAGAAACATAACCATGCTTCTTTCCTCAGTCTCATTCTAGACTTGATTTGAGTAACTACAAGCATTTCTGCAACATTGCAGATAGTTTTCTCACGTCCAGGGAACGAAGCTGCATTCGGTAATGATGATCCGTTCCGCAGCTCCTTTTCAACTCAGAAGAAACAACGTTAGATGAATCATTTCCAATCTGAAGTACTACTCCCATTTCTTGTGTGTTTCCCTTAAAGTTTCATAATTTGCGAGAGAGTATCTAAATCTTGAATTTCTGCTTTCATAATTGATTATGCATTCTGTACCAACAATCTGTTATTGTGCAATGGTTACTGCTGTTCAAGATTAAACCTTACTGCTGTTCAAGATTGAGTACCATGATGTAACTCAAGATCTCTGGGACAGGGTTACATCTCGGGTACATAGCACTGCCAGAAACTTTATTCAACCGATATTAAGCATGAATCAGAACTCGATTACGATGTTAAATACAAACATAGAAAGGTTTTTATAAGTTTTATTTATTCACTGTTATTCAACCTGAAACAGCTTTAATCGGAATGCTGAAGTTGCATAGATTACAGATAAACAAACACCATAGGCATTACAACGTTACAACTTACAATGAAGCTTTCATGGTTACCAAAAGGCTTCTTTACATTCATATCATTCGCTTGTACTTCCCTTGAGGTTTAGCCTTGAGACCATATTCTCCGTCCTCTGCAACAAAATGATCCCAGATCATTCAAACATACTGATTATATTAACATGCACTATCAATGAAACACTAACCTGCTCGGAATGCGAAAGATACTTCCCATCAAGTGTCACAACCACACGATTGTTACCATCCACTCCTTTAATTTTGTCCACAGAGCAATAGAAGTCTATTGCAGACATGCTAAACAAATACACACACAGAGTAACAAAGACTCAGCTTTTAAAGGGCATGACAAATATGCACATAACAAGAACTAACAAGGACCGATATATATATAGATCACTCTCACATACAAAATTTTGGCCCATGAAGAAGCCAACTAGTAATCAATCGTTCCACACACACATGAATGCCAACATATCCCTCTACTCTCTTAACATGGTCTGCGAATAATCGAATAAATTATGAACATTTTAAGCTTCTCCTTAAAGCAATTCCTATTTCTTTCAGCTAAAAAGTGTTATACAGAGTAAAGTTCATACATTTACAAGCTCCTGTATGATCACAACTCCAACAAAAAGAACACACAAGACAATAAATCAAGAAACTTTCAATTCAATCCTCTCAAGATATGAACAAAATGGAGCATAAGGATCAAAACTCAAACTTTACACAAAGAACACAGAACTTACATGCCGTCGCCAAAATCTTCATTGATAATCTCCTTTATACTCTCACCAAAATGCATCACTGCTTCATTCAACCTAAATCAAAAATCAAACCCAGAAAAATCAAAATTAATCCCCAAAAAAATATGTAAAATTTCCAGAGCAAACCTGTAGATAGTGGGTTCTTGAATGAGATTAGGATCATAAGATCTCCACGGCGGAGACATCATATCTCCGATTAGTTCATCAGTCAGAGCTGGTAAAGCTTCCTTAAGCTTCGGGACTGTGTCCGGTTTGAGCTGAGCTTGGCGACGGAGAAGCTGAGCTACGTAGACGTTGGTTAGACCTGTCTCCGCCGCTAATTGGCTAAAAGTCTTGCCGGAAGCTGTTTTCACGGCGAGAAGCTGATTTGTAACACTCTGTTTCTTCGCCGCTTCCATTTTTTGACCAATCAATCACTTTTGTCTCTTCCTCACTCCTTTTATGGAAATTATTTAGTTTTGAATTTTAATTAGGGTCTTTAAATGGGCTGAGTATCTCTACTCTTGTAATGGATCTTTAAATGGGCTTTTATTTCAGGTTGTTAGAAGAGAGTTTAAGAGAGAAAGAGTTAGTTAGAAAGTGGTGTGAGTGTTTCTTTTCTCTTCTTGTTGAGAGAGTGAGATCTCCATGAGCATAAAACACTTGTAAACTCTTGATTCTATTATAGTGGATGTTGTGAGTTAATGTCTCACCTATTGACCCATGAAAGATAGGAGAACTCGTAAAATTATCGGTGTCAGAAGTTCTTTATATGGATTCTGCATAAATCCTAAATCATAAATAGATTATAATGTTGTCAAAATTGTTGGAATTATACATGTTTATAACGATTTGTAAAACTAATCATAAATTCAATTGTCGGAATTCGTATAAATATTGAATTAAATCTACGTCATAAGATTATGAGTATATTTGGATAGTTCGCAGCGGAAAGATGAACTGAAGTAAACTGAGATTGTAAAACACTCCAAACGTTGTACATCTACTAGTATCCACAAGCACACTAAGTGGATCGAACATGATGCTAATGTTGTAGAGATCAAATCTGAAAACGTGATGACTCTTCGTAAATCTAGTTGATGCTCTTCTTGAATAGGTGGAGGAATCTACTGTGGTTCTCAAATTTCTTTGAGTTGTAGTTTACTCCCACTGTTTCTCCTAGAAAGAAATTCTCTTTCTAGAAAGATGATATTTCAAGCAACAAAAACTTTGTTGTTCATATAGTTTTAAAAGTAATAACCTTTGGTCTCTTTAGGATAACACACAAAGTAGCATTTATCAGATTCTTATCAGTAATCAAACATTTGACAGAAACTTCACAACCCCAAATTTTTAGAAAAGAGAAGTTAGGAATTTTTCCAGTCCATATCTCATATGTATCATTTCAACTAATTTTGATGGATCTTTGTTTAGCGTAAATGCACACGTTTCTAAAGCATATCTCCAAAAGGATAACGGAAGATTTGTGGACTCATCATCGATCGAACCATATCTAATAAAGTTCGATTTCTCCTTTCCGTTACACAAATCCATTGAGGTGTTCCAGGAGGAGTAAGTTGTGAAACAACTCCAAATTATTTGAGATGATCACTGAAAAGTTGGCTCAAAATATTCTCCTACACGATCTGGTCAAAGAGCTTTAATTGTTTTGCCAAGTTGATTTTGTACTTCATTATGAAATTTTTTAAACTTTTCAAAAGATTCAGATTTATATTTTATTAGAGAAACATAATCATATCTATTGAAATCATCCATAAATATAATGAAGTACTTGTAGTTTCTTCTGCACATAGACTCATTGGCCCGCGTACATATGTATGTACAAGGCCCAACAAGTCACTAGCCCTTTCATCGTGTCCAGTAAAAGGAGCATTATTTATTTTACCTAATAAACAAGATTCACATTTTTCATATGATTCATAATCAAATGAGTTCAAAAGTCCATCACTATGAAACTTTTGAATGTGTTTCTTATTTATATAGCCTAAACGACAATGCCAAAGAAAAGTAGGATAGTAATTAGACTTAAATATTTCAGTAATAATGTTATAGACATACACACTCTAACAGACCGATACCCAAAAAAAAATCACCATGATCAAATGAACAACACTTGTCTTTAATCGAGAAATGAAATCCTTCCATATCCAAACAAGAAATATAAATTGTATTTATGCTTATAGCAAGTACATAGTATCAATTATTAAAACCATGCTGGAAGGTAAAGACAAATGAAATGTTTCTACAGCTAACGCAACAACTCTTGCTCCATTTCCCATACGTAAGTCCACTTGTCCTTTCTCCAAAGCTTTACTGTTGCTTAGGCTCTACATATTTACACAAACATGAGCACCATAATCGGTATCTAATTCGCAAGAAGTAGGACTAGAAGTAGCAACATTTACTTCTATAATATAAATATCATGGAGAAAAAAAAATAATAAATAAACAAATAAATTAAAAATTTTAAAAAATAAATACCATGGAGAAAAAGGCTTAAAAATCGTCTTTTTCTTCAGATCTTCCAGGAATTTAGGCAGTTTCCCTTTCAATGCCTAGAACCATTACAATAATGGTAATTATCATTACCAGAGGGTCCATGCTTGATCTAAGAAGAAGGATCAAACTTACTAGGATTTTCAATCCTGCTTATAGTACCCTTTCTTTTGTTTTTACCAAGTTTTTAAAAACTTTTTGCACCCTTGCACCATGAGAACATTTGGAGTGTCTTTTCTGATGTTTGGTTCATCAGTTTTGAGCATTTCATGCAGCTTAGTCAAAGTCTTTGTCAAGTTATTCACGTTGTATAAACTGACCATAACTTGACAACAATGATTGGAGGATGATATCAGTAGCCAACTCTTGGCTAATATGAGAATCCATCTTAGCAAGGTTATCAATATGGACTAACTGGACTATCTTTGGGAAGCCTCCACAAAATTAGAGCCTTAACAGTTTGGTATCTCTCAGTTCGTGCTTGCTCCTATAACATTCCTTTGAGGCAACTAATCATCTCAATTGGCGACTCCACATTCTCATATTTTTTTTGCAAGTTTGAGTTCATGGTAGCCAATATAAGACAACTCACATCAATCCTATCAATGACATGCTTATCATAAGCATTTCTCTCTACATGTGAAAGCTTTATCTTAGGCTTCTCAAGTGGCAATTATTTCTCAAAGACATATTCTTTTTTCTCTTGCTTGAGAACAATTCTCTCAAGTTTCGATACCATTCGAGGAAATTCGATCCATTCAACTAGTCCTTTTCAAGAAAAGATCGTAGTGAAAATGAACTTTGAGGATTTGACATTTCTGTATTAAAAGAATAACAGATGTTAACCAAGTCGCTTTGGTCCAGTGGTAAAAAGAGGTAATTCCCGCCACATGGGTTCGAGTAGCATTGGCCACCGGGGTTCGAGTAATTTAACATGGTGTCCCCGGGCTCCAGGATTAGTCTTTGGGCCTAGAAATCCTTTACGATCATCTGAGTTATAAAAAAAATAAAAATAAAATAACAGATGTTAATATGATGTTTATGAAATTTGAGAAATTTCAACAATTAAGAAAACTTATGCTATACTCAAAATACTATTTTCCTCAAATAAGTATAGTAATCCAAAATCCTTATTTTACTAAAATTTAAATGAAATTTGGCATTTGCCCAAATATAACTAATATGTTTAATTAATTTCAATCGAATTAAAATTATTATTTATTTAGAAAACTAATCTCAATTAAATTTCAATATCTCTCTAATCAGATTAGAACATATCTTTTAAAATTCAGAAACGTATTAAAGGCTCAGGTCAACGAATTTGTCGCAGTGACTTTCATCACCATATACCAATCCACTCAGACAGAAAGTTTTCTACAAAGAAGATACATACAATATATTTATATTCATTAAATAATTAAACATAATATATCTATGCAATCGAGAGAAACATGATTTCTTATACAAAGAAGATACATACAATATATTTATTTCAAA